CGAGAAGAGAGTGGTCGAGTTATTGCTTGATGAACCCGGTCAATACCCAGGTTGCTCTGGCACGCGTTGTCTGAGCGACAACATCAACGACCTTAAAGCGCAAGTTGCTGCGAACCAGAAAGGTATCAACTTGATTAGCACGCTCATGTCCGACTACGGCGAGCAAGTCGTAAAATTCTACATGACGTCTATCCAAGCCAACGCCGAACAGTCCGTTCGTACACTACTCAAAGACGTCTACAAGCGCTTCGAAGGCCAAGACCTCTCTGCAGAAGAGTTCATGGACGACGGTAGTCCGATTCGACTGAAGATTACCATCGATCCCGAGAAGGGGGAGGCCGTCTTCGACTTCACAGGCACCGGTCCTGAAGTATACGGCAATATCAACGCCCCGGAAGCCGTCACATATTCCGCAATCATCTACTGCCTCCGTTGCCTCATCAGCGAAGACATCCCGCTGAACCAAGGATGTCTGGCACCGATTCACGTCAAGATTCCCCCGCGCTCTTTTCTGAGCCCCAGTGCAACGGCCGCGGTGGTGGGCGGCAATGTGTTGACATCACAGCGCGTCACAGATGTTGTTCTGAAGGCATTCAAAGCCTGTGCTGCATCGCAAGGAGATACAAATAACCTCACATTCGGCTTCGGTGGCACTACCTTCGCCGAAGCGGGCAGCACAGGTGCAAGGACGGAAACAAAGGGATTTGGGTACTACGAGACCATCGCCGGTGGCTCTGGCGCGGGACCGACATGGAACGGTACCAACGGTGTACACACTCACATGACGAACACCCGTATTACCGACAGCGAAGTATTTGAGCGCCGGTATCCAGTTCTGCTGCGAGAATTCTCGTTACGTGAGGGTAGCGCAGGAAAGGGCATGCACGTTGGTGGTGAAGGCGTGATTCGCGATATCGAGTTCCGCATCCCAGTGCAAGTCAGCATACTCAGCGAAAGACGCGTCTACCATCCGTATGGTATGGAGGGTGGGGGAGAAGCAGCGTGTGGTTTGAATATCTGGGTACGCAAGACCAATCGCGCAATTGCGACTGGCCAGAAGGTCGATGGCGAGCAGGACAAGAAAGAAGATGAATTCCAGTACATCAATTTGGGGGCGAAGAATACGGCGGCCATGCAACCAGGCGAGAGGATCATCATACATACGCCTGGTGGTGGGGCGTGGGGCAAGGAGGGTGCAGAAAGCCAGGTTGTGACAAAGGCAGATCCAAGGGGGGCGTGGAGAGGTGGGAGTATTGCGGGACGACAAAGCACTGCAGAGGCTAGTGCCTAGGTTCTGAAAGGTCGTTGCTGCGTAAGAGCCATGCTGAACATCCTGAAGCACAAAGGCATAAGCGGACGTAGTGTACGCCGTTGCAGACCGGTAGGCTTTGCAGTACTAGCGTCTGCTGCACATTGAGTTCGCCTGCACTCTCGCGTCGGAGTCTATTCACAATATCAAACATAGCTCGATCTTCCATTCCATGGCCATTATGATGGACCTCCAATACATATTCTCCATGATGCCGTTGTACATCAAATAGTGAGCGCGATGCAGCTAGGAGCAGGACAACGAAATCGGTCCGACTCCCATGGCTAGAGTGACCTTGAGAGGTTGTTCACCATTCCTCGTAAGTGTCAAAGACCAGAAAGACTGGGACGCGGCGGCCCAAGCTCTCTCTCCACTTGAATCTCATACTGCTCAACGATCTGAGGATAGCTTCGTAAGTAGGCTATTCGCAGGCAGACCGTTTAGGATGTCAGCTCAAGTATGCGGAGCCGTTGACAACGGGTGTTGTTCGCCAGGGTGTCCATGTAATGCCATGCGACGCTGGATGACAGCTCAGCGCTACAGCCCATCCGCCCAACAACCTTAAGTTGATATACGGGGTCATCAAACGGTTCCGCCCATGGATTGTGTCGCATCTTGATTGCTATCTGGGGCCGAGATCGATCGACTGATGGCCTTTACTCCCAAATGAGTGTTTGGACTGTCAGAGAATGGTACACTTTGTCTCAATTTCAGCCGCACGGGAAGGGCCCTCAATCGGGATACATTCTCCCCGGGCTTGTTCGAGCACATTCTACTATGTACTCTACAGAGCATGCCCACAATCAAGTTTTGGTGTAGCACCGCCCGCGGTCATGCAAACCTGCAATGACGTCACAGAACATCGGCTAACGCGCTGCTCACAAAGTGCAACTTGCGGTCAGCATCTCATGATAATTGCGCGACATTTGGAGCAATCACAGGGCTTCCCTAACATGCACGGGCGATCCTCAGACCCTGTGCCGCTCCCAACACAGTGCGTCATCCTATAGAGGGGTCACCAAGGCCAGTGCGTTTTGTGTCTGTGTGGAGTGTTCACGTCGCAATTCCTACCATACCTACTCTCGACAGATAGACGTTAGAAATAACAAAATCTATTGCGCTACTGGCTCATTAGCCTTCACTCTCGTAATTGTCTGCCCCTGTCTCGCATTCAACATATCTATCGAGTCTCAATCAGTCTTCGGACTACGTTTCGTGTGAGCGCGTGCGTGGCCACAATAACACCGTCAAGATGAATTACGCATCATGGATCGAGGAGAAGAAGTTGAAGGTAACTTACAGAGCCGATTGGTTTGGAGTCGCTGCGTGACTGACAGCAATCCAGCAAACCTTCATCATGGCCACGCTTGCTTCGACCCTAGTTGGTACCTTCACAGCGTCCATGGGCCTTTGGGAGCGCATCCACGACCGACGCCAATCTCACAAACAGAAGATTCGCGACTCGAAACAGGATGGCGATATCAAAAAACTCCGCGAGCAGTTTGAGAAGGCCCAACAAGCGGCAGACGGAAGGCAGCAGGAGATCGAACGGTTGAAGAGTGGGGGTGGTGGCCGCGATGATCCCGGGAGGAACTTCGAGCGGGATGCGATGATGATCCAGCGCACGTATGATGAGGGTTATGGCAGAATGGGCAACCGGTTTGCGCAGGGTGATGGTACGTGCCAAATCTTCTTGAGATTAGTAAATGCTACTGCACTCGACATACTAATGCGAGTCCAGCCATTGTCGAAAACCAACTCCAAGCTCAGATCATCTCCCTCCAGCAAACAGTCATCAATGTCCTCCAAGATGCCCTTTACAACGACAGGCAACTCACTCGCGCTGATATGGCAAAGTTGGTCGCAGCTTCCAATTCGGCGCGAGACGGATCGCTCGAAGCAATGCGTCAAGCACAACAACGACTGGGTTCCAATCATGGCTCGATCCAGGGCTCTATCCGTGCTCCCTCTCCACAACGTTCCATAGCCGCACCCCCACAACGCGCCTCGACCGTCATAATGGAAGGGCCCGACCAATTATTCTGCCGTTACAGTCTCGATCTCCAGTACGTGCAAAACAAGCCGCTAGCTTCAACATTTGCGCCTGGCGGGTCGTGTCAGTGTCCTGCATGCGGCGTGCATCTTGATGTAACAGCGGAAGACTTCTGGATGATCGGGAAGCGCACACCCATGACCATCATCGACAAGGGCTACGAGACGGAAATCATGGAGACGAGAGAATTTCGTCTGGGTCAACGATTTGTGCTCAAATGTCACACTCCAGACGGCGAGTATGCATGCACAATATGCAACAAAGGTCATGACGTTGATGCGATTTGTCGCACGGTGGAAAGCCTGGTGAAGCATGTCGGCACGTACCATAGTGTGGAGGAGCTAGAGAGAGAGGCCGATTTGAGAGAAGTGAAGGTTGATACCCGGAGATTGAGTCTGCCTGCGCCGAGAGCACCAAGCCCCCCCGGTGTTGTTAGAAGAGAAGTCATCGAGGAGTACCGGTGAATTGCATTTCCACTGCCGAGTTTATTTCCTGAGTGAGCAACGCTTCCACGATATACGAATCACGATGTTACGATAGAAATCTAATAGTACTTGAACTTATTGGTGCACTATTATTGATTTGTGCCATTGGGAACCTGCATCAATATCATCCCGTATCCTCATTCATCGGCAGCCGTGTCGTCAAGCATGGCCAACTCGGTAAAGCTGGTCAAGACATGTGCAGTGCGAACCCTGCATTAGACGCTGACGGAGAAAGCTTAACCAGACGTGTGCAAGCCCGCAAGGTTTCACAGGCAAGACCTGACACTTGTGTACCGGTCTTCAGGAGATGCTCGCGGTGCTGGTGTAAGCAATGGTGGTCTGTGCGCTTTGAATACGTCACCATCCGTCTGGGGAAGGAGCAGGGGAGCTGGCAGCTGAGTGTACTCGTTATTGTGATTCTTTGCTACGTTTCACTTCCTATCACTACTATCGACTGCGCACTTTTCTATGCGACCGAAAGGGAACCAATCCTCTTTGTGGTGTATCTGCAATTCGATAGCGATTCGATGGACTTTCGACTCGTCTTTAGGCCCCATAGCCTCGTTGACCTGTAATTCGACATGACTATATCTTATGAGTAGTCGACCAAAGCCTGCCAAAACTGAACCATGATCTTCCACGCATCTGCATCAACTAACATGCTAAACAAGCCTTAGATCATTCCATACAGCGGAGGCCTCCAGCTGTAAAGCATCCGACCACATCATCGAACTGCGCTTGATGCAGTCTAGTCCAGTCCATGGGAAACCTACACCTCCACGGTCCATGTATGGCATCCTAACACGGCCTCGGGACGATATCGTAGTCGGACTTGTTCGGTTTGGAGAGCCCCGCCAGTCTTGAGGTGTGTTTCTACTTCTCCATTGCTTTGCGGACACATCACGTGCTTTCGCGTTCCCCGGATCCACTCCACCTCCCGCGAACGGGCGCACGGTCCATCACCAAAAAAAATTCTTCACTGGAGCATTCATGCGACAAACGTTGGACGAAGGCAAACTACCCATCAAGATTCGCCATACGCTTGTTTTATTCTTCAGACCGTTACGGTGCTATCCAATGTTCCCATCCTTGACAACAATATTTCTCATACAACCCACCATTCCTCCATCAAAGCAACAGCAACAGCAAGCCCGGCTGGCACAATCGGTAGCGCGTGAGACTCTTAATCTCAAGGTTGTGGGTTCGGTTCGTAAAGCCTTCATTCAGTTCAATAAGATTCAAGTCCTAACAAATAAACAGAGCCCCACGTCGGGCTGAATTAGCAAAGTCTGCAACAAACACACCTTCTAGGTGGTTTCTTTTTTTGTATATTGTACTGCCTGTCTAGTGTATATGAATTCTTTTTTTTTTTGGTTGAATTATGTTCATATAATGCATAGAGTAACAGGTAAGACATAGTGGCTAGAATTACTGCGGCGCTGAGGTAGTTGGTTGTGTTTGAGTGAGGATAGAAATATGGTAAGACTTCAACGTAGAGTTTAGGCAGGGCGTTTAATCAAACCTGCCTACTTGTCAGTTGGCCGCAATAAAAGAAGCCTGAACATGTCGCTCCGAGGGGTGGTCATTGAAATTTAAGAGATTGAGGACTAATGCGCAGGTGGTTGCATCCAGATATATACATATGAGCTTGAATGAGTTTGAATTAAGTGCATAGTCAGATATCAAGCTGCTCTGGTTGACTTGGTGCGCCAGGCTTCTTCCATCTGAAAGTCTGCGCAAACGCAAAGACACTCTACTACTGTGATGTCACTTAGCTGAGTGATATCATGGTACAGAGGACTCTAGTCTGTAATCTTTAGGAGAAACTAGGCGACTTATCTTGTATTCGCTCGATCACAGTGTTTGAGCCAATATCCGCATCCTGGACCTACAGTCTATCAAAGCGTTCGACGGTATTACCGGGGGGGGGGGGGTGTGTGTCGTTGTCAGAATATCTTTTGCTTCGGTGGCTGAGCGACGACTTTCATGCCTTTTCCTCCGTCTGATAACTCAGTGTCTTTGTATCTTTGACTCTGACTCTACGAATGAGATTGCCATCATTCGTTGCTTCCGTTGCACCCCCCGTCTCGATTGTTACATTGCCCGCGGCATCGTGCGTACGATCCCACTCCTCAACTCTGTCGTTTTTGACTTTCCTCAATCTGTGCGTAACACTACCATCCTGAGCGCTGACCAGAGTCTCTGTGCGGACCTGATAGTTGCCCCACTTGGGTAGCAATTTGATCCAAAGGAAATAGTACAGGGCCATTGCGACAAACAGGCCCACGCCGACAGCACAGTAGGTGGCATACCAGAAGCTGACATCGGACTCTTCGGGGGGGTACCACGGCATGATGAGGATGAAGAGGCAAACTGCTGCTGACAGTATGAGGGCAGAGTGCCACGCTTGAAAGGGTGCAGGCGGGAGCCCGGCCTTGTTGCGCTGATGCCGAAGCCAATACACACCAACAACCATCAGGAAGATGTAAACACTATCTGGATATGACCGCAGGTCCACCAGGAAATCGAAAGCATCGCCAAAAGGAAGTGCGATGATGACAATGCATGTCAGTGTCCATTTTAGCAGAATCGGAGCAAAGGGTGTGCCAAAGGGGCGTGTGGATGCCCACATGTGAGGCCAGGGTAGCATGCCTTGACGCGCGCACTCGCGAATCTGCCGCGTAGTCCCGATGATGACAGCCATGATGTTACCAGCGGCCGAAACTGCAACCAGTGCTGGTAATCCGCGAGCATGCTTTGCACCGAAAACAGCCTCGAAGAAGAGCGCAGCAGTGAGCTCTCCAGATTCGCGGATTTGATCAGCGGGGACGGCAGCAAAGTAGGCCACGTTTGCCAAAATGTAGAGAATGAAGACAATGACTAAAGAAATGGGGGTGACTATCTTGAGCGATCGAAACGGATTCTGCAAAGCAAGATTAGTATGGTAACGACGAGTCTGTTTTGCAGATGGAACTTTACCCTGATCTCGTTGGTCACATTGAAGGCGTTTGCATAGCCTGAATATGCAAAGTTGATACTAACGAGCGCATTCACAATGTCATTGCCGTTGTTTGTGATGCCGTCGAAGGAATTTTGGAAGCTCGCTTTCGGATTCTCCACTCTGGTTCCACCGCCCAACACCACGAACCCAGTAATGACAATGAACAAGAGGATGATGAGTTTGACAATCGATATCAGGTTCATAATCTTCATTGACCAGCGCGTTGAGATTAAGCAAAGGAAAGCCAGGAAACTGTACGAAGCCATCGCAAGACCTTTGTTGGCCCATTCGCTAGCTTGGTAGCCTGCAGCGCGATAGATGTAACGAGCGAGAACGACAGCATTACTGCTAGAGAAGGAGAACGCCACGGTGAAAAAGGCGTATGTTATCGGGAAGAAGAAGGCGGGTTTTGGGTAAGCTTGCTCAAGATAGGTGACCTGACCGCCCGACCGGTGCGGGAAAAGCGATGCATACTCGAGATAAATTGCCAGCGCAGCTTACCCTGGAGTTAGCACCATGGTCTGATACATATACTGTCGTGACCTACCTGCGGAGATGATGAATCCAAAGACCCAATACAGCAGACTCAAGCCAACGCTGTCGAGTGCTCTCAAGATAGAGCCAGCTGTATCATGGGTCAGTGCTACTACCGCTTGGATGTTTGACGCAGGTGACATCTGGACTACTAACGTGTGCTAAAAACACCAGTCCCCACCATTTGACTGACGTTGAGAAAGAGGATGCCCGCCCAGCCGACATGATATCCCAGAGGGGACACTTGCTCGACTGGCGCTCCGTTCCCATCTTGAAACACTGCTTGTCCATCGACGTAGATCTGCTCGCCGATTTGCGAGTTCTTTCCCCTCACATGAGATGCGTCGACATTTTCCTGGGAATCATTGCTCCAGAGGTACTTCTTCAACACTGCGATTGTCGCCATGTGTTTTCGGGTTTGGGATAGACTGAAGGATCAGGAATGACAGCTTGTGCACGGGTGCAATTTCATGAAGCGTACATTGGTTACTTGAATATCACCCGCGCATGTTGGTACTTAAGATGGGCAGTTCATCTCGAGTTAAGGATCGCATGGTGGTGCAGCACGACAGGGTTGCGGATCATGCAACTTCTGCCCAGTCTGGCGTCATCCAATACCCAAGCTGCTACTTTATCGTCTGATTTAAATAGGTATACATGTCCAATCACTAGATCGAATCACCACAAGCACTGTTCGCCTGAAAAGGATAGTCTGGGTGAGATTGCAGACACATGGCGGTCGAGACCCTGTGTTGCGATTGCTTGCCAATCAGCGTGATAAAGCACGTCTTCGTACGCTATATTTGTGCAGCATAATCTTTGTGCGAGTTACCGGTACGCTTTCCCCGGCGACAAGGTTTACAACGCGGAGATGTTGCTAAACGTCTGGACTACATTACCACAGAATGGGATCGAATATCAAGCTTGGGCCTTGGATGTGGTAATTTGGACATGCGGCGACGCTGGACGGCATGAAAGAAGTTGAAGATGACTGTGGAAAGCCTGTCGGATGATGGAAAAGATACGGTCTTACTGCAGAAGGGCAGGGGTCGTCTTTGTAATTCTTCTCTATACTGAATGTACATTTTGGGATTACATTGTCTCATCTATGCCTACATATTCCATCACAAGTCATCTACACATCTACCTACACGCCACCATCTCCCCTCCTGCCCATTCCCGTTCCCCCAACTCCCTGTTCTAGATTCACTTTCCGCCCATGATAAGTAACCGCTTTGCTGGGCACAACCTTCCACTCCCTCGTATCGACCGCCCGGTCAAGCCCACAGCTACGTCCTTTCCACCCACTACCTCTCAAGCCCCTCGCCAGACTCCACGCGCCGGTAATACAATCATTGACGCCCACACCGTTGAATTGGTTGCCTACAACCCTCAACCTGCCCTTGAACTCCGAGGACAAGGTCTGTGAGAGCTCGGCGAGTCGGTCGGCATAGCCCAATGTGTATTGTGGGATACAGTCTTTGGATAAGGTCGCGATGGTCAAAACGGGATCTTCTTTGATTCCCAAATGTCTCTGCAATACACTCTTCGCATTCTCTACACCCTCTTCTTCTGTGGGGTAGCCCTTGTAGCCATCCCACCAGTGTCCACCCATCATGACTGTGACTTTGGTGCCTTTTGCGCTGTCCTGACCAGAGGTACCGTAGCTGTCGAAGATTACACCGAGGGCGCGCTCGGGGTTTTGCTCAAAGGGTATGGATTGGGGGATTAGGTAGCCGAAGCCTTGGACGGGAAGGAGGGTGGCGGGTTCGGTAGCGAAGTAGAGGTTTACTGTCTGGACGGTGACGTAGGGGGTCAGGTCTGGGTTGCGGAGGGTGGATATGGCGAGGTCGAAGGTTTCGGTTGTGGGTGCGGAGTCGGGCTGGCATGTCTTGTCAGTATGGGATGGGGCAATGGTCTGGACTCATGGGGAATGAGGAAACGTACGCCCGAGATTACTTTGACGCCCATCCCTCCTTTCACAGGGATAAAGTCCTGGACGGGTGTTTCGGTCTTGACCTCGACGTTGCCCCTGCTCGTCACGGCGTCCTTTAGACTGCTCACGAGCATCTGCAATCCGCCTGTAAAGGTAAACATGGCCGCCGCCTTGAGTTCCTTGGCAAAGTCGTCGTCGAGGTCAATTTCGTCGTTCAAGGCCTGCGCTAGATCGTAGTCATAGGGGTGCACGATGCTCATGGTCTGGGCGAATTCCTGATTGCTGTGCATCTTGAAGAAGCCGCCAATGGCACTGCCGTAGCGGCGCTCCAGAGCCCACGGCACCCCAAACAGGGTGCGTGCAGAGAGCTGGTGCACGTCGCCGGCGTAGATGCCGTGGAGGCCGGCGGACACAACATTGTCGGCCAAGCGCTTGTCCATACGGCGAGTGAGGAAGGCGCCGATGGTTTCGTCCATCAAGTGATGCGGACGCGGCTCCGTCATTGCGTCTCTGGCTATGCCCATGATGCCCGCGAGGATGCCGGACCGCCATAGCGAGAAAGCGTCGGCCAAGGTGGGCACCTCGGAGGGCAGGCGGTTGAGGCGGTCGGGATAGTAGATGTAGCGGTTCTTTGCGCCCGGCTGCGTCTTGTACGTGCACCGCACTTGGTCAACCAGGCCCAGCTCCTGGATGAGCGACGCGGTGACGGTCGAGTTGCGGAGGGTGCGGGGGCCCTGTTCGAAGACGACATCTTCGCTGCCGC